TAAATATTTAATTCCTCAATTAAAATTCTTGATTAAGTTCTAAATTTTAACACTGTAGACGTAAGCTTTCGTGTTAGATAACGTTCTTGTCGTAGCTAAATCTATTTGAAGGAAACTGTGTTAAAGTTCAGCGAATATCATCAAAAATCGATTTTGGTCAGTGTAAATTTGGTTTGTGTTTGTTCCTCAAGTAGCATCGGATCATATTTTATTCCCATTTTTTCAACTAAAATGAAATTTTAAGAAGCAATTTTAACTAAAGAATGTTTCCAAAATAGCATCCCTCATTGCAAAAAAAACCCCTCAAATTTCAACATGGAAAATCGATTTTAAATAATGTAAAATTGATTTATTTGTAACTGCAGTAGCATTATTTATGCATTTTTGAAAATTTTATGTCATTTTTCTGAAGTAAAATAAATTAAGTTCTTGTTACTCCAGTAGACTAATAATTGTGTAACTTGCTTCAGTTTACTGACAGAAATGTTGAGTAAATTAAAAAAAAAAAAAAATAACATTTATACAAGATGCCTCTGAAGATATGTTACTTTAATAGCATAAGTTTGTTTCAGCAATACTATTTTGTGCATAAATTTATAGCATTTCTACTAGTTATTATTCTACTATAGCAGCTCTACAGTTTACTCTTCTACTGTAACAGTTCTCTCATAGGAGTATTACTACAATTAGTATAAACAATGACTGCTATTATAAGTATTGTTATAGTAGTACATCTATATAAAACAACACTGTTTTCAATTTTATCATAAGAATTGTAATATGTATTACTATAACAACATAGATTTGCTTTAAATATAAATTTATGATTAATACAGCAGCAAACAATTAATAATAACATTAATAAATTAAGTTGTTAAAGAAAAAATGGCAACACAGAATGGAAAGAAGTAGTGCCATCTGAGCAACAATTGGACTTAGGACAACATAATAATAACATTAATAAATAATATAGGAATATTAAAATTAATATTAATTAATAACGACAACAACAATGAAGAGAATTATAAATACTAAACAATGACACATGTTATGAAGTTGCGCTATCTGTAGAGAAGAAACGAAAGTAAACAACCTACGTACAGATTTATAGTTGATTTATAATACTTATTTACAAAAGCCAAATGGTTTTCAAATTTATGTCTCTTTGGTGGACGCTTATTTGTTTTAGTGTGAATGTTACCAATACACGACCTTCCTTTCCTNTAGTTTCTTTTATAAAATTAGTAAATTATATTTCCAAAATCTAGTAAAACAGCTCCTGAATTATCTTCATTGATGTAAAAGTTATACATGTTAATCGACTTCAACTAGCATTAAAATTGTTATACAGTTATAAAATTAGCAATACCAACCTTCAAAAGTTAGGAAAAAATACCTTTAGGAGAATGTTCGTTAACACAAAAATCCCGTTTGTTACGCTAATAGAATAAAGACTCTGTTCTAATTTCAAGAATAATTAAAGATGTCTTCAAAGTTGCATGTAAATGGGGATTTCGAGCTGTATATTTATTGCTATAGCAACGTTGCAAACTGTTAATTCACGAAAAATTGCTTGCTGGGCAATTATGCAAGAAGTAGAAAAAAGATCCTTATCAATGTCAAGCACTTAAGATATTTAACTATAGATAATTATGACTTGTATCATCAACTTCAAACCTATTTTCTTCGTGATAGCAACAGTAGGAGGGAAGAAACTAAAGGGAAACACGAATATTTCACGTAATAACTATCTTTAGAGGTCATGTAAATAAAAATTTATTACTGTAGCAGCATAATAAATATTAAAAGACGATAAAAATAATAGCAACACATAGTTTGTTGTAGCGGCATCAAAGAAAAGTAAGGAAAACCCTCCAGAGAATTAATGCAATTTGTTAGGAATCATGCGTTAAAATGCAATTATTTAATCGGATTAAAAGCAGATTTAATCGCTTTAAGCAACTTGATTAGTTGAAAATTTAAGGTCGTGATTTGGAAGAGTTTGAAATCAATTGCATACCTCTAAATTATTGATGAATTGTTGAAAAAAACGGATTCAAAAATCCGATAAAAACCCTCATAAATTTGAATTTTACAAATGTTCTTTCATATTCAACTAAACTTTAATCTACTTTCGATAATCTTACTTGCCTCAGGGGATTTTAGCGCAAGGTATTTCGATCACGTACAGGTAAAAATTGCTGTTAAATCCCTTCTTCCTATTTTACTTTTAAAAAGAAAGAAATCCTTTATCATTCCATTAAATAGTTCCTCCGTAATTTCCCGAAAAATGAGATCTTAAGAAAGCTTTCTACAATCCTCCTGAATAACTGGAACTCGTATTCCGTATAATAACAATATTTATCAAATATTTTGTTAAAACTAACTCCAAAACTTATAAAATTAACTTTATCATCGAAAATATAGAATAAATTATTTAAAATAAGTACTTTTAAACTTTTCTTATCGATTATTGGTTCATTTGAAATTTGAAAAGATTGTATTTTAAGCCTATTGGTTAATTTAAATTTAAAATTGACGAATTTAATACTCTTATTGGTTAATTGATTTTTGAAAGAGAATATTTTTTACATTGATTGGTTTTGATAAATTTTTTATTTAAAATTTAAAATAAAATCTTTTTAAATGGTTAATTTAAATGTAAACCTTTGCATTTTGTAATTCAACTGAACAACGAAACTAAATATCACATCCTTCTCTGATTGGTTACTTTAAATTTGAAATTCACTAATACTGAGAGGTGTTTGGTGCGTTAATTTTTAACAAGAATTGTTCAATAAAAGCTCGAATTTTTTATTTAAAATAATGTTTAAGTTAAAAAATTTATGACATTTCTAAATATTTTCTTAAAATATTTTTTTTATTATCGATTTGACATTTTATGATATTTTATAAATATATAACGTCCATTTTCATATTTCCAGAAATATCGTTCTTAATCGATGTTTTCTACGCGATATATATATATATTTAAATTGTGTATAATTTTAGAACATTGAACTCTTACGAAAACTTTTAAAAATTTTAAAAATAAGTAATATATATATTTAGCAACAAAGCATTTAGAATTTAATCACTAGACGGCGATGTAGCGTTGATTCACGTGTAATTGGATAATTTAAATTTAAAATAAATTTGAAATGACCAATAAGATAAAAGTATTTGAAAATTTGAAAATTTAAATTTTGCATTTATCCAGTCAGAGTTATTCCAGCACTGTACTTTGTACAGAAAAGTAAAATTGATTTATTTTAATTTTTAACGTGCTATTTTGATTAATTTAATGTGTTTTGGCCTAAAATTATAAACGAAAACAATTTTATTTTTCTACAAAAACAGTTCATATTCTTGCATTTTCTAAAGTTTCAAGAGGTTTCAAGCAATATTGAATAGATTCAATCACTTTTGTAGTGTCAACCTCTACACTTTAGCGATTTTTCTGTTTTTATGTTTTATGTAACGCGTGTAACATCCGAGAAAACAACTGTAACAACCCGAATTGCCGATTGGAAGCAGTCCAATCGAATTACTATCGTTTAGAGTGTATTGATTCAAATAAACTGGGCGTAACGCTCAAACATGTTATATCTAAATATGTTGACAGTTTTGACAAGCGTAAAACTAGAAAAATCTATCAACACCGTTTCTAAAATCAATGTCACAAGGTTCAATAGCATTCAATTCAACGTAAACGCATGTTACATTTTTAGTACCAATAACTTTTCAGTAGTATTAAAGCACTAAAAACTGTCGTGCCAGATATTTTAAGCTTACAAAAAAAGGTCATGCAACGACTTATGACGTGAAGTACAATTTATTTAAACCCAAAAATGTCACAATTTATCTTGCCTACAATTTTATCACACCCAAAATTGTCATCCAGGATTTATGTCGTGCCGCAATTTATTCAAGCTTGAATCTTATATCCAAATTTATTCGCGTAGAATTTGTATTAATATTAGTTACGAATTTTTCTTGAATAATTTTAAGTTATTCCTATTTTATTTTCCTGTTTAATGTACACAAGGCCAGATTTATTCATAAAAATTGTAGCCTCGTAACATGAGACTGCAGCTTAATCATAGATTAAGAGGCGACAACTTAGGGCCTCACATTTTAATTTTTAGTAGGCCTATTATCTGGAGGAGAGGGAAGGGCCTCTTATAGGTCGTGCTTACACTACATATTCTATTTACTTACATTGAAATATAACGATTCATAATTTGAGTCATATGAAAATTTATTCATATCGAAGTTAACGTGATGCAATTTTCTCAAACTCAAACTTCTCGTGCTAACTGCACATGCAATAATCTACTTAATTAAAGTATGTATCATAATATGGCCATGTTTTACAACACAGAAACGTTGTTACAAGACATTCGTGCGCTAAAAATTCGTGCAAACATAAAAAAGAAGTTATTCTACAAAATTGATTTAATGTTTAACTTAGTTATTAAACTTTATTCAAACGCAAAGGGTCGAAATCATGACGGATGAAGAATTAAATTGCTCCAAGTTAACGAGTTGTAATTGGTTAAAACTTAAGAATATCACATTATAAACTAGTTTATATAGCGTTACAACGTAGAAAATCCACAAAATGTTGCCAAAATGCTACTGCACGTTTCAATTAAGGTATCTTCGAGATACTTTACACAGTCAGAAAGTTATTTCTGTATCTAACCTATTATAGGCATATATGGATGAAGAGATGATTACAGTGATGCGTGTGAAATTGCCTTAAAGGTTGGAAGGGCAAATAAAAAGAAAGGATACATTTCCATTTAGGCAATCGTGATAGAGCAAATACATTTAAGGATTTATCCAAACGATACAGAATCATTTTGTTGATAAAAACAAGTTGCTTTCCCCTCATAAATTTTGCTATTCCTTCGCTTCACTTCGATTGCTATAAAGATAGTTGCAATACAGATACACATATATATTTTTTAATATTCATAACTTCTGTTTTGCAGTTGGCATTTGGAATTGTTCCAAGCGTACTGTCTGAAACAACAGAAATAACTCAAGTGGATAGAACCGAGAAGAAACTGGTAAGCGTTATAAATCATGAAGAAATATATATTTTACTTATTTATGCATTTCTGTAATCAATATTTCATGCAATTTTTCTAACTTTAACAATATTAAATCATCCGTTTGGTTGTTGAGTGGAGCGTTAATGATAATCACTTACCCCGAAGCATCTGTTAGTTAACTTTTCTTGATGGAGTAATTGATTTTAACAGCATTTTTACTGATTGAGCAGATATATATATATATATATATATATATATTTCTTCTTTAAAATATCGAATTGCCATTTTATCTGGATGTATTTAAATGTCTCAAATTATTGTTATCTAAAAACAATGAGTCCTGGTTTTCCTCTAAATCGAAACTACAATAAAATGTTATCTAAAGGAATTACAAACAGATAAAAGTTTCTAGCTTCGAAAAATAATATCTTGGGATTTTGTCAACAGTTCTTAACGAAAATAAAACAGAGAGAAACAGCTGATCTGTGTCAATATTTGTCTTCGTATATAGTAACGACCCTATAGATCAATGAAGAAAAAAAGGAACAAAATTAATTTGATTTTCTAGTATATTAAAGATTTAAAAGTACTTCCAATTGATAAATTTATTTTTAAAAAATATTTTCATAATTATTTATCCTTAATGATTATTCACTTAAGTGCTTAACGTCATTTTGTCATCCTGGATTTGTGTCGTACTGTAATTTATTCAAGCAGAAACTTACATCAAAATATGAACTTTTTTTTATGTATTTTTGTGCTGATGTAAGGGCAGGTTTACGCATTAGCTGAGTGATCTACAGCTTAGAGCTTTAAGGCTTCGTGCCTTATAAACTGCAATTCATAAGGAATCCCACTCCTTTATATATTAAAGGCCTCAACTGATTTTCTTCTACTATTACTGTTTTTTGTCACTAGCTTCCTCAGTTCTGTAATGCATTGTGATAGATGTGATTTTGAAATAATCCACATGCTCTTCCAGAAGAGCGAGAAGACTTTTTTATCTGTATATAAATTCAGTTAACATGTCAAAATATTATTATTGAGATTTTACAGAGGAACTTAATTCAAAATTCTTCTATTTTTATATCGCAAAATTAGTTAATTGAACAGTAAAAAAACAGGTTTGTTAATTCTGAAAGATTAAAAAATAAAAATTTAAAAATCTACTAAAAGTTTATGCCCTTATCATTAGTTGGATAGTGGTTTTTATGTAAAAAAAAACCCACGTTAACAATAAACAATGAGATAAAAGTTATGCAGAATTTTATAAGTTCTTTATGCATGATATACTTTATTGTATTTAATTTACCTTATCTGCTCTGAATTTCTTATTCAAAAGCTTTGCAGAGTCTCGATTTACCCTTATCTATATTTCTAAATATAGCAATAAATTTACTCTATTTAGAAATATGGGTTATAGATAAGCAAGTTGAGATTGTGAGCATCTTAACAACCATTATCTCAACTGCAATCCATTTATCCTTCAGTCATTGTATCATCTTGATAAGCAGCATCATCGGCATCACAGCTGCATTGTAATAATTTAGTATCTCTATAATATTCAATATAACTTGAGTGAATCATTAAAAATGGTGCATTCTCAATCATTATCACTAGGAAATTAAAAAGAATACGGAAGGATGGTCAGAATGGGGTGAATGGAGCCCATGCACCAAGAGTTGTAACGGAGGAGTGAGCCATAGATTAAGAAAATGCAACAGAAGAACCGGTTGTGGAGGAGATTCCATTGTTTACAAGATTTGTAGTATGCAGGTGAATATATAACATGCTAAGCTTTCGTTACTTGGACTTTGAGTAATTTAAACAAGGATAAAATTTTAGCATTGCGAGAAACAAACCGATTTTAGAGCGGCACAATGCACAGCGTACGACAGTACACCTTATAGAAATAGGCTATACACGTGGTTACCTTTCTACGATCCTGCAGATCCGTGCAGCTTAACCTGTCAGGCTCAGAGTTATAATTTTGTAGCCAAATTAGCTAGCAACGTCGAAGATGGTACAAGATGTAGAGAGGGATCGTTGGATATGTGTGTCAAAGGGAAATGCCTGGTAGGTACTGTACTATCAATTTCTATTGTTCCTTTGAGAATACTCATCTTAGAAATTTCATCTTTATTTCTGTATTAGCCTGTGGGATGCGATCTTAAATTAGGTTCGAATCAGAAAGTGGATCAATGTGGTGTGTGCGGAGGTGATGGTTCGACTTGTCGAAAACCCCTGTATGCCTGGAGCGAAAGTCAATATTCGCCTTGTTCTGTTACTTGCGGAGGAGGTAAGTGGCATATGTAGTTTGATCTTTCTCGGTACGGAGTTTTTTTTTTTTCTTTTTGAATTATCGACTCTTCTTCAGTCTAGTTAGAATTGTTTTTCCTTACTCGAGGGGTGTAAAATTCGATTTTTTCTAGAACAAAAGAAAACTTATTGTTTGAAGTACTTACCAACGATTATGAATAATTGTTCTGGTGCAATTTTATTGAACAGACAAAAATATAGGAAAAATCCTGATAATTTTTCTATTCTAAATATAATTTACATTCAAAATAACTGATTCTAATAAATTAAGATTATTTTTAATAAATTATAACGAGGATATATGTTCTGTAATGAGACTTTGTTAAATTAAAACTAAAAAATAAGAATTTGATTCAGAATATTTTTACTGTAGATTAAGTTCAGATTTATGTAGAGTAAATAAATCAAAGAATGAGGATTTGAACCCTATAAATATATCTAAACAATCCAGGATGAGGATTCAGGCAGGAATTTAAATTCAATGTAATGTTGTATAATATTGATAGTTTATAATTAATAGCATTAACATTGTTTCTGTGTTCTGTACCAATGAGAAAGTTTACCTCCAGTCTAATTTAAATGATTAATTATTATAATTAAATCATTAATTAGGTTATCAAATGTCCAGACCAATTTGCAGAAATAAAGAAACAGGAAAAGAGATAGACGAAGGTTATTGTAACATATCTCACCGACCACGTCCAAAGATAAAAGAATGTAATCTTCATAAATGTCCCAATAAGTATGTAAAAAGAGGAAATCAATGTATTTTGGAGTAATTGAAAAACTTCTACACTCATTTTTCCTAATTGGTACTCTTTAGATGGATCACAGAAGAGTGGACGGAATGTTCGACTACTTGTGGAAGGGGAACACAAACTCGTCACGTTTACTGCGCTAAGGATGGTCATAATGGTACTCGAATCCCTATCAGTGGTGCTTATTGCCATACTCTAAAACCTGCGACGGAACGTACTTGTAATATAAAAGATTGTCCAAGATGGTATGAAGGTTCATGGTCGGGGGTGAGTAATTGCAGCACCAATTATATTTTCTCAAGGATGCTCAATTGTCTAATCGAATTTGGAGTAGCTGTATAATAATTTCAAACATTTGTAAGCTGATATAATTATTTTATTTTAGTGTTCTACGTCTTGCGGACAAGGTTTCCAGAGACGAGTTGTCATTTGTAAAGATCACACTGGAGAAACGAGCGATCAATGCGACAATTCGAAAATGCCAGCGAGACGACAACTGTGTAATAGTGGTATAAGTTGTGGAGATGATACTGGTAAGTACTCTAAAACGGAAAAATATATCTTTTATTTGCAATTTCTGCACGTCATTTATTGATTGAATGTGTTCTATTTTTATTTAGAAATCTGTTTTTTGCATGTTGTAAGTTCCTCGCAATTATCTTACAAAATATCGTCATTTCATAAAAGAGTAATTACAGAAAAGAAAATGATCGGTTTTTCAATTTATTTGTTTATTTTATGTAGAATTTATCGAGTAAAAATCATTTTAACGTAATCTTTTCATTTCAGAAATTTAAGTTTAACGGTAATTCATCTTGATTTAAAACGATTTTATTACATTTCTGTTCAATAATTTATCAAATGATGATGTAAGTAAATATGAGCATTATCATGTTTGTGCTTGCTGCTCGTCTAAATTTTGATAAATTACTAAATTAATTCACTAGAAAAATCCAAAATTATAATTTTTGAGAGTAGGATTTTAAATTTTAATTTAAACAAGGAAGAATTACTTTTAACTTTAAAAAGAAAATGTATATAAATTATATATACAGCTTAAATTAAGCTAAAAAGTTATTATTTTTAGCATATTGAAGTCCGAATTGCCATATCAGATCAATAACGATCGCTTTCATACTTATTACATATAATTATTTTGGGAATGTTGAAAAAAATTGATAAAGAATAGCATATTGATTACCACATCTATCAAAAATATGGGACATTATTCAAAACAGCCCAATTTCGTTTATTTATAATACTTCTGGGTATTATAAATAACACTAAAACATATAACTAAACATGCAGATCTTGAGCAGAATCTCAAATTTCTTCCATGGTCAATCCTAAATCTTAAAGTATGGCCACCCATCTACTAAATTCAAGAATTCAATCCTGATTCCTTTCATAATTTTGCATAATAGTGGCATTGTGCTCAATTTCACACCCATTGTAAATCGGCCAATGATGAAGGTCATCTCTATATAAAAGGTTAACATTGATGCTCCTTTATTGCATTTAATGGACAAAATTGAAGCATATATTTGCTGGTATGCATTACATGGCTGGCTCCAAGTTTACCTGTTGTGTGATATGATGATAATGTTCCTCATATTGGCTGAATAAAACAATGAGGGTCATTGATCCATTCCGGGATCATAATAATGCCACATGTAATGGGTAAAATTGGGTCTAGCTATACAGCTATTTAATAAGAGTTTCTGATATCAGATACTAGCACCTGAACTGTTAAACAAAGCACGAGTCATTTGGCTTAATCGTAACCCCAACTTTGCGCAACTCGGTACAAAACTCATATATCAGCTGTAGTAGTCCCTATAGTTTTAGTGAAATCATAGTGCAGTATTTTCAATTATTAATATTTATGTAATTATAACAGTAATGTTGATATAATTCATTCTTATCAAATTGGATTCATATACTAGTGTAACATATAATTTTTCATTTATATTATTAATAGATCTAAGTAGTGCAGCACTGTCATTTCTTTCAAAGAAAAGTAATAATTTGAATTTTCTAATTTGTTAAATTCTATATTGCTGCATTAAAAAAATATGCAATGATATAGAATAGTGTGGCAATAATTGTCACTATGTAAAACCTTCCTTTCAGGAAAAGTCTCTCAAGAAGATTCTCCACCATATTTGTCGCCATATTGGGCCAGCAAGATGAATTTGCCCAATTTTATGAAAACTCATCCAAGGTATTGGTATTTTCTACTAAATTTTCTACTTTTTACTTTAAAATGGTCTAGAATATTTTTCAAAATCTCGTACATTTTCTTTCTGAAAGAAATGTACAAGATAAATTACAACTATGTGGCACTAATTTTGGCTATTTGCTCTGTTTTCATTTGGAAATGTATAATAAATGTAACATATTCTAAATTTCTGCAGGATTTTTTTGAAATGTTGAGATAAAAACTCCCCTACACTGTTAGAATGACCCAAGTCACATGGTATCTCCATGTTTTCTAGCTATGTGGCCGGAGAATGGGGACCCTGTAGTGTTACGTGCGGTGCAGGGGTCCGCTGGCGTCACGTGGTGTGTCAAATATTCTTGGAATTCTCACGAGCTATAGCTACTTTGCCAGACAGGGAGTGCCGTGGTAAGACGACGATAAATTATCATTCTTTTGTTTGTTTCCTGCATGCATTTGTCCCATTTTTGTATTTAGGAAAACTACCTTCTGTAATCTAAATTTTCCATTAATATAGTTGTCTATGAACTCCCCGTAGTTAGTGTAGTAAATTAATCGTACAATATATTATATTTAAAATTCCTTTGAATAAAAATGACAGTGCTGCTGAATAACTTTATAGAATATTTTTAAAGTGTAAGGTTTATTTTATTATTTTGGATAGTTTCAAGTAAGTATTCTATAAAATTGTATAGTAGAATGTACCCATTAGAATTAGTTTAGTTATCAATTTATGTAGATATTCAGTTATCTATATTTGCTTTGGTTGCACTATATAGCATAAGGTTGCTCTTTGTTATGAATTAATTTTGTAATGGAAAAGGACTATCTTGAAATGTTCTTCATAAACAAACGAAGTCATCTTTTCTGGAAATATTTTTATATCATTTTATTGATTGTTTGCCTCCATAATTCAAAGCATTGTCATTTCTATGATCACGCGCAACTATCATGATGCAAAGTTTTTGATAATAATTAGCTATATATAATAATTGGATAATAAATGTAGCAATTATTTGCAATAATTGGCTACATGATCACTCAATTAACACACGTCCATTGCCTGGAATCCACAATTCAATCTGAACCAGGTTTCAAAATTTCAGTCAGTAGTCAAGCATCACCATTATGCTGGTTGAAACCTAATGGTGTATATTAAAATACATCCTCAATGCGAATAAATGGAGGAAAGAATATATAACATTTCTGAATTAATTATAAATATTTTTATATCCCTTATAATTATCACGATTTCCAAACAAATTAATAATTTACCCTATTTAATTTTGAAAACAATTCATATAGATAACTGAAATATTCAGGAATATTTTTTTAGATTCATAAATATGGAATTATAATAAATAATTATCTAGACATTTTTAGAAAGAATAGTAATAAAATCGTATACCGAATTTTGAAGAGATTGATAAATACGCAGCCATCTCACTAATTTATTATTATTATATTCTTCTATAGGTTCGAGACCAATGGAAGTTGAAAGATGTTACACTCAGCCGTGTTCACCGGATCAAAATCATCTGTCTGGTTTGAATTTCATTCCAGACAGAAATGAAATACATGTGACATATTCTTGGAGAATGGCCGGTTATACGCCTTGTAGTGCCTCTTGTCTCGGAGGTATAACTGTAATGAATAATTTTCGTATTCTTTTAATTAAATTCGGCATAACAAATATATATTTTTAATAGGTACGCGCGAATCCATTATACAGTGTATTAGAGATTATGATTATGCTGTTGTTAGTCCATATATGTGTGATTTAGACACTAAACCTCCGACAAATACTCAACCTTGCAATGAGCATCCATGCCCTCCAAGGTAATATTCTAAACTCGAATTCTTTGTAAATACTTATGATACAAAACGCTAAAATGAAACATAATTTTGCCAGAATGTATTCTTGATATTGTCTGAGAGGTTTAATTTGATTAAATTGGGGAAGATCCTGCTGCTTCGAGATGTTAATAATGAAAGGACATATCAAAGAAATCGAATAGAATTCTCTATTCAATATCGTATTCTGGCATTATTGTGTTTTCTATCAACTAGAAAACAGACAAAAATCAAAATTTAATTACTGTAGATGGAATACTACGGCCTATAGTCCTTGTTCCAAAACTTGTGGAGGAGGTATTCAATCACGTAAAGTAACGTGTGTTCACGAAAAAACTCATAGCAGTTCCGGAACACAAACTGTTGCCAACAATCTTTGTCCACAACCTCCGCCGCTTGCTCAACAATACTGCAATGTTTTTGATTGTCCACCAAAATGGCATTTAGAACCATGGAGTAAAGTGAGTAAAATAAATTTCACAAACAAACATTAATCTCAAAAGTATTTATTTCATGTTAACATTTTTGACAGTGTTCTAAAAGTTGCGGAGGAGGGAATCAAACTCGGAAAATCAAATGCCAAAAAGAAATGGCATTTGGACAAACGGTTGAACTTTCCCCTTCCGAATGTAGTTTAAAACGTCCAAGAACTGTCAAGCCATGCAATAAAAAGTCTTGTGAGGATTTCATAATTGAAGAAACTACACTTGATCCTGATACTAAACCAATGTTCATTCAAGAGCAGCCAGGCCGCAAAGTACTTCTTGAAGCAAAAGGAACAGCCGTTCTGTATCAGGACACCATTGTGAAACTTCGCTGTCCGGGTATCGATTCAGCAAACGCAGTTGTAATGTGGTATAAAAATGGCAAACGATTGGAGCCGATAGGAAAGTACTCTGTCTCTCGACGTGGCGCTTTGAAAATTAGAAAAATTTCCGACGACGATGCTGCTGTATATACTTGCGTAGCAGGAAAAACAAAATCTGATATCAATATAACTATTAAGCCAGTTTCTTCTACCTTGGGAACTTCAGAAAAATCACTGACCACTCCAGGTAAAAAATAAAAAAATTTCTTAATATTATTGTCACCTGTTTCACTGATTTGAAATATTTCTAGCAGCTCCTCGCACAGGCGGTGATTACAGCCACGGATACATCCATCAAGATTCGTCTCTGCAGATCCATCCGCCTGAAACTGAGAACTTCAGTAACGAGAGGATAGATCACGATACCTGGGAATATCATCAGAGCCAAGATATAATTTCAGATCAGAACAGCAGAGAAATGGATGCATCCACACCGTATTCAGATTCTGGTTTTGATTATAGTAGGATTCATCACGGATCTACAATCACTCTACCTCATGTGTACCAGCTAATTACTCATCTCCGCCAGCAGCAAGAAAGAAATTCTCTCTCGACAAGTAATATCGATGACGACACGTATTATTCGGGGAGAAATGGTGAAAATCTAGAACTAGACTGGATGGTAACAGATTGGACACCATGCTCTCGTTCTTGTGGAGGAAATGGATTTCAAGTAAACGATAATTTCAATTAGTAACTGGAGTTGATACACACAAAAATTCAATAATAGTGTAATAATTGTTTTTCTTTAAAAGGTACGTGCGAAACAATGTCTTGTCAGGTTACAGAACGTTTCAAAGACGGTCGATAACAACCTATGCCTGAACAACAATATGCAACCTCCTCCAACAATCCAAAGATGTGGTTTAGAAGCTTGCCCACATTGGGAAGCAGGACTTTGGTCGGATGTATATGTTCTTAATCACTCGTAGCAAAACAATCTCGTTACGTTATTTTCAGTAGTTCACATTAAATGTATTATTAGTGTTTTATTTTCAGTGTAACGAGAAACATTGCTTTGGATGGAACACTGCTCTTCAAAAGAGAAATATATATTGTAAAACTATAAACGGTACAGTAGTGGATCCCAGCAAATGTAACGAGAGATTACGACCAAGAAGAAAACGAGAATGCTTTAATGAAAGATGTAGAGGAACTTGGAAAATTGGCGAATGGTCACAGGTAATCAAAAGTTAATTTTATAATCACATAATGCGTACGCTTTATATTTGTAAAATAATTTTTAACTTTATTTCAGTGCACAGTTACTTGTGGACATCAGGGATTTCAAACTCGAACACTACAATGTGTTTGGTATGGTACAAATAAATTAGCTAAAAATGCCTGCCAAAATCTACCAAGGCCAACAGTCATTATACCTTGTGAGAGACCACCTTGTCCTCATAGTAAGAATCACTCAATTATCCTTTTTTTATTTAAACAGTAGTATGACTATAAATGCACATTACTAAATAACTAGATTACGATTATCTTTGACAATTTCCAATATTTTCTTGTCAATAAACAAAATTCATTCTCTATTATTGTATTGCAGTTTCACACATACATACAGTACAATATAAATAAATAAGTCTATTTTAGTATGCATTTATAAAATATTCATCAGAAATAAGACAGCTATAACCTGTCAATAATTATTTTTTTTAAAATATGTTTTTGAGACTTGACATTGGCTACAAAGACATTCAGTATCTTAGAATTTATTAGTATGCTGTCTTCTGTTATATGAACTTTAATCAAAATGGAGGAAAATGTCTCAGAACATTATAGTAGTTCCCAATAGCTTCTTTAATTGTTTTAAGATGCAAAAGAGAAAATTTTTGAACTTAATACTTACTTTGGGATGTTGAAGTCCACACCATAATCAATAGTGCCTGCCATCAAAATATGATTAAATATGTATTCTTTTAATTTCCACCTAGTAGTTAGAATGTTGTCAAATACACCATTGTGCTAACTTAATTTTTGTTCTTTAAAAACATAAAACTTGTGAGAAATATCCAGTTTGAATGAGATATTTATCCTGAATGTAAATGTCTTTTCCATGTAAATTTACATTGTAATCAGTTACGTTATTATTTGATTTATATGTTAAAATTCTTATTAAACAATACAATTCTTTATATTAATGAAATTAATATTTTCCTATAGAGAAGAAAAGTGCAGAAGCTCTTTTGCCATAATCTTTGGAAAAACTTTTTATATTGCAAATTTTATTTTTGAATTTTTCTTTGGACTTTTATATTGTTAAAATAATTCCTCAAAGAATATACAGTAAACTCACTCTTTCATTTAAAAAACTGAAATTAGTCTTGTGGGCATTGATTAGTGGAAAAAACCTCTCTTACAGATTTGGTCAGTACCAAAATAGGGACAAACAAGTAATGAAAAATGAAATTTTCTTGGGTGGATTGATTCAGAATTACCAAGTCATTTTGAACTTCAACTTGCCTCTCTGGGGTTCCAGGCTGCTTTAATCATAAAACTATTAATACAATCACAATTTGCAAAAAAGATTAATTAGATTCAATAGAATATGAAACTAGAGAACATTGTAACATTAAGGATGAAGTACCAGTAAAAGGACCTTATGGGGAAACAAGTCTCAGTAGATTTGGTGGAGTTGTTGATATTTTGAACTTCTAGTGGTCCTGATCTAAAGTGTCACATGCACAACACATCATGAATTATGATTTTATATTTAGAAACAAAAAAGATATAGCATATGATTTTAAACATTACTGATGTTTGGCAATAGACTGATTACAATTTATGTATTCTTGTTAATTTTTTATGACAAGAGGTGGTCTAAAAATTCTCTTGCATCTTTGAACAATGATGTTGCATTTTTCAGCAATTTCATCTATTCAAGCTATTTGCTGTAGAAAAAATATTTCATTACGAATAATTTCAGAAAGCCATATGGAAGTTAATAAGGAAGAATTAGAATTGATATATTGCATAGATAAAATATTAAACAAAGTTATTATAAAAAACAAAATATAATATGGGCATTTGCCAATAAGAACAAAATTTTTGAGGTAAAATGCTTATTAATGAATAAATGTACCAATGAAGTTTCTTTTCAACTATTATTGAGTTTTGGAGGAGCAAGTCTCTTGCTAGAAGGCTTTTTAGTGCATGTGCTACATAACAAAGCTCACTGTATCTGATAATGCAATATGAACCCAAACTCTTGTGTATGACATATGTTAATGGTTTCCCTAAGGAAATCCCAATATCATTTTATATTTTGAAACAAAAAGATTTAAGGTTTGTGCATGAATTATGCTGTTTTTTGTATTTTGGATGCTTGATAATGCGAAAACTGTCCATTTTTTGACTGTGTTTATGGAGACTTTTTATCAGGACCACTAGTTACAAAATACCAAATATTCAGCCAAATCCATTTGACCCAATTCCTGTAAGATTTATACAGGGTCCTTTGATCAAAATGATATAAAATTAAAGCTGTTCTTATTTTTATCAAATTAAATTTTAAGTCTTTTTCTTCATCAAAATATAAAAGCAAGCACTTTTGATGGACAGTGATGCGATTTCTTTGTACCAATTGGTATCTTAGCTAATTCCCTTCTGCTCAAAAAAAAGGTTTAATGTACAGTACAACAAGTACTACATATTTTCTGTGACTAACAAAAGGGTCTCATGTATAACTATTTTTGCTTATCAATTAATACTTCTTACAAAAATAGGGCATGCCTAAGAACTCCTATTATCAGCCATCCTGGCAGAATTAATCATAAAAGAATTAGAATTTAAGGTTTTTAATGTCTCCTTTACCACTGGTACCTTCTCCGTCTCTCTTATATCTTGTTAGCTTGGATTGGATGCATATTGAATTTGTGCAGCTATCATCAACTGTTTACCCTTCTATAAGTTTCACTACAGAAGGTGAAAAGGGTGATATGATTTAATTGCTAGATGTAATCATTCATAGAACTTCTGAGACCCACTTTTGGTGTATACTGTAAATGAAACTTAATCCTTGCTACATTCTTTCAGTTGCCTGGCCATATAAACATGGTCATATCTGTACCCTTCTTTACATTTCCTTATATACTAAACATTGTGATATGCTGTTAATGCACAAAATAGGACAGTATTCTTATACCAAGGTCAACTATCTCAGTTGCGGTTATCCTTGTGCAGAATTCTGAATAATGATAGAAAATGTTTTTTAAGCTTTGAAAAATCAGGCATATACATGGTCCCACTAAAACATTCACAAAAGGCTGCTAATTTGTAACATAGGTGCCACCAGTAGAAAATTTAGTGTTCCAATAAATAGTTTCCAAGAAGACGAATTGCATAATAGGGCCATAGAGTCAGTAGACCAAGTTCCCAGCTCCTGCCTCTAAATTATTATTTAAAGTATACTTTGATTATATTAACCCAGAATGGCATACTATAAAATATGAAGAGTACTCATCTTTTTTTCAACCACTGACACACACAAGTTTTTTGTGTGGGTCTTTTGACAATAAAAATGTAGTAGCAGCTAACATACAATGTATTCAAGTAGAAATTTCTAAAAAGAAAAATCAACAATAATTAGTAATAATATGCAAAGAGAAATCATCGTAAAGTAAAATCTTGCATTACAGGATGAGGTTAATATAAAGTACTGTACATAATAAAACTCATGAGTTAGGGTTGGTCTGCTTTTACAGACTTGCAGTCTGAAGCAAATTCATTGCTTAGAAGAATCAAACTGCACAACCCTGGTTTTAGAGGAGGGTTACAAACTTTTATGATCAATCTCCTTACTGTGGCAGCATAATGATTGGAAATTCTTATTTATCTGGGAAATATTATAGGTTTCTATGGTTGAAGTGTTTATTAAGCCCATGATCTACCTTCCAGAACTTCCCTTTTTAACAAATTTCAGTGTACAAAAATTTTAATATTAAGTTTCTTTTTCCAAAAAACTTTGTTCAAAAGCCTTTAAAACATTTTAATGTTATATTCCATTTTTGAATATTGTCCAAGGAAGATAATTATTCACCATTGAAAGTGCTTGTTTTTAAATTTTGTAATAAATAAATAAAATTTTAATGCCAAAAGACAGTTGAACTTCTCAAAAATATTTAATATTGGCATCAAGTGTGCTTTTGCTCAGTAATTTACAAATAGGCCAAATGACTGCTGAATTAAATCAGGCCACTTCTCTGCTATTATTTTGAATTAATTTCTAAATAATTTAAAATATTTGTGTATGTAATTTTCAAAGATACTAGTGTATATTTTGAATATATTACCTTAATAAGCTGTATCCTTTTTTATCTTTGATGTATATTTATTTTTAAACACAACTGGAAGAAATGAGATATGTTTAACTAATCAAAATTTCTATAATTTCAAGAATAATGCTAGTTTTAAAAAATACATATTTTATGTCAAAAAATGTTTCTTATCCTTGCAAAGCTGACAAGTGGGTGAAAACTCCTGAATAACTTTTAGGCAAATCAACTAGTTTACATAAAGCAAATAACTATATTAAAATAACTTTTCTAACCCCCATAAGTTTAGAAAGAAATCTACATCAAAGAAAGAATCACATCCTATAAAACAACTGTCAGTAGATTTTTATTCAGTATTTATACATCTTAAGACTCTACTACTCTTTACCTTAAAAGCCTGTATTAGAAAATTATACTAACAATTTGACTCAATCAAAAACTACTTCATACAGATGGGTGGAAAGAGACTATTGCAAGCAAGAAAGAAAAAATTATTCAACTTAGTCCAATATATAAATATAAAAATGAATTCTTTTTGGTTTGTTCTTTATATAAATCTTTGGTCCAGATCAGTTTAAAAGTAACATATGTATGAGTATTACTTAGACCCTAAGCTATATATACTACCCCAAATCAATATTTTGGGTAGTATATACATACAACATGCTCCCATTACACACAGTTCTATCTTTTGACAAAAAAAAAACTTGAAAAATAATTAAATTCATACAAAAAAATTAATTTTTAAAATTATATCATTGTTGCAATAATTAGATGAATATAATATGGAATATTATTAAAATTAAGGAAGTACTATTCAGAAATGAAAATACCTGTATAGTTTGGTTTGATGTGAAAAACCAAATATACAGTACTTTAAAATGTGAAAACTCTCAAGATACAATGACATATGTAAGGAATTATGGCCAACCCAACATTTTTATAACCTTCATATGTAATCCATCTTGGCCTGATATTAAGGAGGAACTTTTAGCTGGACAAATCTCCCATTTCACAACACGAGTGTTCAAAGAAAAGCTCATGAAATTAAAATTTTGTTATCACATCAATTAATCTATGGTGAAACACGCTATTGGATGTATTCAATTGATTGGCAAAAAAGAGGACTAAGCCAAACCAACATGTGCATGTGGTAAAGCAAAAGTTCAATCAACTGAAATTGATAGCATAATTTTGGTGGAGTTTCCAAATGCCAAAGAAGATTCCATTTTTTTTTTATATTGTAAAAAAGAACATGATTCATGTAGGCGAATTAATCCAAGTTCACCTTGCTTGAAAGATGGAAAGTGTATCAAGAAATATCCTTGCAAATTTAAGGAGGAAACTCAAACCAGAGATGATGGCCACCCCTGTATAGAAGATGGGAGATTTCCCACAATGAGAATGAAAACTAACAGTGAAAATACTGAAATAGAAGTGAACAAATGAATAGTTCCCCAGTTGTTTGTTTTCAAATAATGATCCAATGGAAACCCATGTCATTTCTGGGACTGGTAGCATGTAGCTTTTGCATGAAGAGTTCAAAGTGTTGCACTGTGAAAAGTTTCTGTTTTTGCTATTAAAGTCAAATTGTTACACCTAAAGACTCAAATACTTTTCTTTTTGAACAGTATTTTTGTAAAATTTAAAACACAGGAAATTATTAATTTTTCTTATAAACCCAGGCAATGCCGAGTACATATGCTAGTTTTGTTATAAAAGAAATCATAGTAAATAGCCTTCATGTGGACAGGTTCAAAACTGGAAAATTTGTCAGTTCCATAACTCTGGATGGCCAAGGTAAACTTCGGTTGTGAGGACAGAAAACTCCATTTTCAGCTCCAAAAGTAAATATTTTACAGATTGTCTTGTCTTGTCTGACAAGCAGACCAAAACTATGCAATTGATTTCTAACAAGTTATCTAGAAAAAATGCCAGATTTATATGCCAGAAGTTATATGAAGAAATGCCAAAACTTCACTGTGAATGACTGGAAACAAATTTTATGATGAGAACAAAATGAATCTTTTTTGATCAGACATACAGCCTCAACTCTTTGAGAGATGCAGAAAACCTTGAATTTATCAACAGGATCACACACAAACTGTGAGGTACCATGCACACAGTTAAGATTATTGCATCCTGGTTACAAAGAAAGATCAAAACATTAGACTGGCCTCCACAATCTCGACTTAAAGCCAACTGAATACTTGTGGTCAATATTACAAGCAAAAATCCTTCAAATCTTGTACAAGTTGAAGAAGTGGTTAAGGCCAAGAGGTTTACTGTATTTACCTGATTGCAAGCTTACCCTTTCTTAATTTTTTTGTGGTTGAAAAAAATGCCTTTTGGCTTAGAATCAGTATCATTAATACAGTTGGCCAAGTAGGTGACACCCTTTACCAACATAGTTGAAAGTTCAGAAAAATATCACCAGAAGCTGTCACAGACATGTTTCCACAAATTTTGTATGCATTGTTGAGTTACCAAGTTCATGTTATTAAACAGGATTTTTGACTGTTGTTTTATAATGAGGCACTGTCATTATACTGCTGATTTTAAAATGAGAGTGATTTTGTTTGCTGAGGAGACATCCACTGTCTGATATTGCTTCATCAATCTGATAAGGCAGAGAGACGAAGTATTTTCATATTCCAGCAAAAAGAAAAACATTTGGTGGACCAAAATGCAGTCACCACCATACAGTGGAAGTTATTTTTAATGATTTTGTGAAGGGTGTCTACAAAATGTCTACCAGTGATTGCCAAATTAAGACTGATAAAATTGATTTTCTGCTTGAGCAATTTCAACGTAAGTTGGCATTGTGTTCAACTCTTCAGTTAAGCACTGGGAGTTTTGTTTCATAGGCATATGTCAACTGTACAGAAATTGTCAGAAAATTATGAAGAGAAATTGATAGTTCTTTTCAGTGCTAAAATTCAATCTTCTTGGTCAGAAAGAAAATTCTGACCAAATTCTGATATATTTTGATATGACAGCAAATTATACAGTAGAAGAAAAGAGAAAGAAAGAAGTAAAAGTAATTTTTGTTTGTATCTTTGTCTACTTATTAATAGGACTTATTATACTGGTGTAGTTTCCAATTAGCAAATAGAGGAGATCATAGTCAAAAGTCAAGTGAAAAGATATTTTAAAACAAAATATCTTTATTTTCACTTGACTTTTGATTAAGATCTCCTCTATTTGCTAATTGGAAACTACACCAGTATAATAAGTCCTATTAATAAACAAGGTCCAAGTAGACAAGGATACAAACAGAAATTTATAAGAGTAAGGGCATAGAGGTAAAAATCCTATCAACAGGAAGTGAAAAAACAGCACATGACTTTTAGGCTCATGTGTACTGCTGATGGGCATAAACTTTCATTCATTGTGTTTAAATGCAAGACACTGCCAAAGTTGGAGATATTTCCAAAAATTGTCAATATACATGCAAATGAAAACGGATGGTTTACTGAAGACATGGTATTGGAATGGGTTCAGTTGGTTTGGAAACTTTTCTGTATTACCTTGTTGAGGTTTCCTAGCTTCCTTGTCTTGGATTCTTATGCAGGCCACATAACAGAAGTGGTAAAGAGAAGAAAATGGACTTGGCTTGGACTTGGGGATAACCTCAATAAGTAATTCAAGGGCAAGTTGAGAAAAATGTACACAGATGGGCTCTCCAGAGAAGATTGAATGCTCATGCCTATGCTCTTGGGCATAGCCAGGAAGAGGCAAGGGTGGGCACGGCCCCCAGTTAACCAGGTGCCCTCCCCAGAAAAGTACAGCTGAAAAAGTGTTGAGCTGATTTGCAAAAAGAAATAAAAAGCTGAAGCTAATTTAATTGGGTGTAGTGTACTGCGGCCTACAATTAATCTCTGAACATTGGACTTAACTTCAAATAACTGCTTGAATGGATCCAAGATAATTCCTTATATCCTCACAACGTGAAGTTATAGGAAAGTTGAGAAATTCTGATCCCTAAAAAAAAAAAAAAAAAAAGTCAACGGTTTTCTGTGTCCAATGAGAAAAGTGTATCTGTAATCTCTATGTACAGTTTAGTCCAGTGTTTCTCAACCTCTAACGAATCATTGTCCCCTTCAATAAAACCGTTACATAGTATCGCCTCCTTCACTTCAAAATTCCGATGCCGAGGGCCAAGGCTAACGTCACATCCATACTGCATCGAATAGACTAGTGACTGGTATAATGTTATTTGTTTAATTATTGTACGATATAGCGAATAAAATATCTAATTATTGTTAATATAATGTTTTACTATATCGCCCAGAAAGTTGTTTTCGCCCCCATTGAGAAACACTGGTTTAGTCTCTCTACAGGGTGACGCCAAAATAAGATCTCGCATCACCTGAAAATCTTGCTAGGGCCACCTCTGGTTCGGAGAGTGAAAAAAATTCTCTTTCCAATTCGGCCTGGAGGAAAAAACTGTTTGCCACCCCTGGTCTATATCTAGATTAAAGACGGTGAACTATATTAAAGAATGGTAAAAACAAATAATTGATTGGTTAATTTTTGTTTAAGGCATTGCTAGAGTTTGATATTAATGTTACAAGAACATATGATTAAAGGAAGTTTCATATTTTGTGCGTGTTAAGTTATTGTCGATTCTTATGGAAATTTCATTTTAATGAACAATAATTTGAAATAATTCAATTTTGTGTCAGGTTGGCCTCTACTAGGCCCCCATAACAAAACTCTGGCTATGCCAATGCCTATGCCTATGAGACGTGAAGTGGCTAGTCTGTTTCAAGTGTCTGTATGGAAGAGTATTTGTAGAGAAGTTGTTGCTGGTACATTTTAAAAATTTTCGATGACACAGATGATGCTCTGTACAAAGACAGATTCATCATCACTTGACTCTTTGTTGCTGAGTCATTTGAACAATTAAATGGTGTAAAATTTATTCCTTATGCTTGATTAATAAATTTTCACTTTTTATTTCCTGGAGTGGCTTATAATGGAATAAACATGGTATATAAAATATTAATCTGTAGTACTTTGTTTCAAACCCTGAAACAAGAGAAAATTACCATTTGTGATTTTTTTCTGGAGATTTCATTAACAAGTACAAATTACATTTTATCACTACATTACATTGACATGGTTTTATAATCTTTCAGTTTTTAATTAAATGTCTCTTAATTGAAAAAAATACTTTAAAGGTTTTTCATAAAACAGCAATATTGCTCTTGTAGATACCTGACATTGTTTAAAGTGGGTACACTTCAGACTGTGCTTGTGCATTAGTTCCTTACCTTGTTTTCAGTGTATATACACCAAGAACAATTCATGCTACTGCATGATAATGTTAGTGAATGAGCATATGTGATGTCAGATTATGGCATTTCTTGCTGCTGTTAACGTTTTCAAGACCACACCTTAACAGGATTTAGTGATCCTATACAAACTTAAATTGACAATCTCCATAGTGGCAAACATGTACTGTACTTAAGGATATCTGGATATCATTGAGAGTGGAAAAATTGATATAAATAGAAAGGTTTTAATGAGAGTTTTCTCATAATAATTAATTAATGTAATTGTCATATTAAAGATTTTTATATGATATAAAAATGAGATTTCACACTTAAGATATAAATGCAATTTACTATCTACACTTTTACAAGTAAAATAATTATTAATTATTAGAACAAGATCTTAGAAATCATTGTAGCTATTTCAGAGTCCAAATTTCTGCAAATTAAAACAGTTTGTTCTAGCCAATATTCCCTTCTATAGGAACCATAGACTTCTTAATTTATTAGTATCAAGAGCTACACACCAATTAATGCAACTGTTGATATGGTGTGCACAAACCTATCATTCAATTGTTGGCTGAAGCCAAGGACTCTTGAGTAAAGGCAAAGTTTATTATTATCGGTGATATTGAGACTATAGCCATAAAAATATATGTAATAGATTTCATTAAGTAAGTAATTACTTATGAGTTTCTCAAAAATTATTGATCTTATTTACAATAATTTCAATTTTTATTTTTTTAGACGACTTGTGTGTCGACAGAGCCGCTTACTGTGATGTAGTGAAGAGAATGAACGTTTGTCACTTAGCGACGTATCGACAGCAGTGTTGTTACACATGCAAAAATCCATAAAAAGCATACAAATTAAATCTGCCATTTTTATGTTTTTATACCTTACATATATTAAAAATTTCAAAAAAATTACATATCTACTTTAAAATTAAAATCTTAAAAAAATTTATCAAAAATTCAAATTTTGCTAAGCAGAATAGATATAGAAAAATCATTATTCACTTTTAATATTTCAAAATAATTGAAAATTATTATTCATTCTAATTAAATGTAATCAATCTGCTTAAAAATATTCATTTGGAGTTTGTTTGGAAGTAAAATAAGATAATGATAAAATTTAAGATATATACGCACAAAATCAGATAAGTTGCAACTAAAATCTAAAAGCCTGGTTTCTGTAAATAATAATCTTTGAATTTACTTTTGTTCAGTATTAATTAATACAGGTTGGCTCAACAGTTAGCTAAAACTGGTTTGAAACAACTACATATTGTTAAATTTGTGATTCAATTGCTTGAAGTAACTGAGCTGTGAACAACAAACAACTGTTCTGAAATGGTTTTAACCATTCTTAAAATAATATGTATTAGTTAACTGACTTTTAGGCCTTCCTGTATATCTGAAATTCATTTTGTGTAAGTTTTCTTTTCACACTTGCTTACAGTCTGAAACAGAAAGTGCCAATAAATCTTGTATCATAACTCAGTTATCTGTTCATAAGTTGTGTCATATAGATGCAACAATGAGTGTTTTCTCTAGAAATCATAGCAATGCATTCTTTTCTAAATAAAATTTAAAAAATAAAGTAGTTTGTATGCTATTATGTGGCTAGCAGTGATTTATACCATACGTCAAAGAATAAATGGACTACCTTTATTATCTTGGGTTATGTTCAATGTACAGAGTTCATTGAGGTCCTGTTTTAAAGCTTTTCAGATGAGTTATCTTCTAGTGCTATTGAAACTCTAAGGGCTTTATGAAACTGTAAAACCTTAGAGTTTCAATGGCACTAGAAGATAACTGATCTGAAAAGCTTTAAAACAAGACCTTGATGAACTCTCTATGTTGAACAGAATCCAAGAAATTAAATTGGTCTGTTTATTCTTGGACGTACTGTATATGAAGTAAACAGCATCTTTCATAATGGTGAAATGTAGATGGTTTCTCTGAAACATACTGAAGCCATCATTTTAAATTCTTAAAATGTAAGTATTGTATTTAATTAATTCATTGAATGATATAATCATTATTTTTCCACCATTTCAAGTTTTCAAGAACAGTGCAAATTAATATACAGTATTTAGAAGTTCTAAAACCAACTGATTTTGACACACTTCAATAATAGGAATAATTGTATATCATATGGAATATTGAAGTTCCAAGTAAGTGCTTCATTTGCTTTTGAAACATTTGATATGCTAAGAAAATACTATTACTTCAAAAATAAATAGATTTAATGAACAGAACATTGTGGGCTACTCTATATGTCACATAAGCATCCGAGAAGAAGACAAAATATTATAGTTTACAGTAAATCACTTGTAATGTAGCAAAATTAATGCACCAGAGGATGCTACTCACATAGCACATACAAGTATACTATGTAGGATGATGTCAGGGAAACCATAATAAAATGGTTAAATACTGTAGTTTTATAAGTTACACATTTGTTAAATAATAATTAACTGTATGGTATATCCTAACAATATGTTCCCCCTTGATAGCATCACAAATGGTACTGTACTGTACATACATAAGTGCTATGCATAGAATCATCCTCTGATGAGTTTATTTTTAACATCCCTGTATAACCATAATCATATAGTACATAATAAATCTGAAATCAAAATGTACTCTCTATTTTCAGTACATGTATTCCAATATTACAGAAACATTGAGAAGACACTACCTAACAAATAAAATCTTTATGTCCAATGTAAACAAAAATAAATTGAAATTTTGTACAAACATCAGAAGCAAAGGTTTTTAAAATGTATTCAAAATTATTATTCATTAAAAATGTCTCTTATAATATTTGTTTAGTTAAGTTGCCTATAACTACATAAAAGTCAAATATATTTTATTCACCAACAAATTCATTTGGAACTAGTGCATTTGTCTTCAGATTCTTAAACAAACACAGTAATGTCAAATGAATAAAGAATAATAAATTTAAATTTTAAACTTTTCTTCATTCAAAAATCTGTAGATGCAAGCAATAAATGCTTTCAAAATGAAAACATTTATTGCTGAAAAATTCTGGCTTTTATCTTCTAGCATTTATGTAATTATCTTTTACAAATAAAAAAAAATACTTATAATTTTGATTCCTATGCAAAGCTAGAATCATAGGGCAAAGAGAATGACTAGTCAACAACGTACCTTGAACCTGTTACCGGTGTGAATGACTAGTAAAATGCTCTTGATAATTGTTATAATATTGAAGACTTATTCTAGATAATAATGAACTTAAATGATCGATAAATATTACATTTTCATTCTTGTTAGTTGGTATATCACTTGACAATTTTATATACAAGACTATTTACATCAAAGATTCTTTCAGTTTTATTGTCTATGTTCATTTTGCAAATGTTATACTTAGTATAATTTTAATAAATTTATTTGTCTATATTATCTATCTATCATCAGTTAGGATGATTTTGTCAAAAGACTATTGAAAATTAATAGATCTAAGATACAATATTATCAATCAATTTGTATTTCTTCAGAAAAATAATAGAAGAAAACAGCCACTATTATTATTTATTATTTGTATAGCATTAAAGCATACTTTCCAGGAAAATGCATAACTCTATATATTCTGCAAGATTAATTTGTAAATGGTAGCTAGATTTTTCATTCTTAAGGGCAATAGTTTAAATTTTTCTAAAGCAAATTGAATGATATAGTCCTAATCAATAAATAAAAGCAAAGAATATTGATAGATATACCATTTAATTAAATAATAGTGAAATTCATATCAAGTTTATTATAATTATTTTATAAAAACTGCTTTGCAGTATTTAGAGAATTAAATAATAACTAAATAATAAAATTAAAATCAATTTACAAACTAATGTATTATTACAGTTGGTAAATTTGATAGCCATTTGTTATACCATAACATTACATATTAAATAAACTCTTTATGATGGGAAATTTTGTTGGTGATCTGATAACAAATTAATGGGTTAATTAGGAACAGTAATTAGAACCAAATATAAATTAGTCATAGGTTACCAGACAGTAATTTGTAACGTTTAAAGAAAACTCTAATAAGAGGGTTTAAATTTAAAGTTAATATTATCATCCAATATTTCTAGAATGATATTTCTGCCATCAGTAGTTAGCAAAAAATCCTGTAAATTGTCAAACATGACCAATAACTATACAATTTTTCATAAAATGAGGCACATACTGGATTAAACAATTGGCATGTGTAATTTCTAGATGCTGGCAGAAGGGCTATAAAATAAATTCGTCAACAAGTATATTTCCTGACATAAAATTTCCTTATTTATTTATTTTTACAAGCAAATAGAAACATCCCAAAGGACAGTTAATCTTTGTTATGTTATAGAATTTTTATTTTAACTAACTTTAAATGGCTCGGTTATTGGCCACTTTTCTTATTTTGTAGTAGTTTATTAAGTTATATAAAATAATTATTATTAATGAATACTTCAAGTTCATTATTAATGATTTGATATATTTTATTAAATAGAAACTTATAATTGTGTGTGTGAAGATAATTTAGTAAAACAATGAAATCATGTTTTACAGATTATGACAAATAATCAATATTTATCAGCTGTAATATCATTCTCATATGCTAAGCATAAATTATTTATCGGTGCAAAAACTAGCAAACTATCACTACATGGTTCACTTTTGTTTTGCACATGAGGAGGAATATGATCTAATGTATTTGTATGTTGAATCATCTGGAGAAATTGCTCCAGATTCAAACATAGATCCTTTGGAATGGCTAAAGACATATATATTACCGCAGCCATGCAGTAATGTACAAAAAATGGCACTAAACAAATAAATACATCCAGTTTTGATGATGTCTTGAACATACCACAAAACCAGAGGTATGAATCCTCATTTGCTGCTTATTAATGGAAATTATTTATGCAGTCTTTGTAAGAATACAAAATTAGAAATTTAAAAAAATCATAATAGGATTAAAAAGTTTTTAATTATTTACTTTCAAGCAATTGCTTCCATTACAGAAACCAGGCTTATGACAAATATGTGCTAACAAGTTATGATTTACCACCATAAAATTAAAAAAAAATATTAAGGTACAATGTAGAAGTATAAAAATTATATTATCTTATGTAAAAATATGTTTAATAATTCACAATAATAGAGTAATATTATAGAATGCTACGGGTATAATTATGTAAATCTAAAGCTGAAAGAGAGAAGGAAAAATAGATGTAGATACAAGAATTATAATTTTGAAGAAAAAAAAAAAAAAATCAAATATGTATATATAAATTGTACTTGTATGAGTGTATGTATTGTATATAATTAGAATTATTCTGTGATAGAATTATGTTAAAACAAATATATAGTAATATATATGTATATTATAATCATTTAATTTGTTTACTGCTTGTAGTGGTAATTTATAAACTTAAAAAAATGATGATTTTTGAAGGAAAGTGCAGCTCACACTTACCATTTTCAATGTTTGACATTTGAAATTTATTAACAAGACTATCAGCATTGCCGAATAAATTAACATATCATATACAGAAATGATCCTACTTATGCAAAAATATATATACATATATTTTTGTTCTCTCTAATTTATATTTGTATATTTTGTAGAAATGTTGTAAAAAATAAGTGTATATTTAAATTAGTCATTGATTGTATATTTTAAATGTGAATAAGTTCTCGCAATATATATATATGTATGTATAGAAAAATAAATTTGGTTGTTTTATTTTTAAAATAAATTATCTATATTTCATTACAGACAGGTGTATTTTTATTTAAATTATTAAAAATTCATAACATTACCTGACATTTTTATAAAAACAAATTTTATTTTTATGAAGTCCTCTTAGTATCCATACAGCAAGATCTGAAGATCCTACCAGACTAATTCAAAATTTTCACTTGTCTTCTCATGGATGGTGAATAAAAAATCTGGCCACAAATGTAAT